TCAAACTATAGGAGAGAATGGGCAAGCAATGTCATCAAGGTTTTGGGTAAACATGGGAAAAGACTGTCTTCCAACTTGGTGATGGGTAAGAATCAACAAGGCAGGGAGTTCTACAGTAATAGCAATCTAATGAGAAACCAATGCCAAGTCTTGTTGTCTTATCCAAAAAGGCAGCCAACAAAGATTGACAAATTTGCAGAGAGTTGGTTTTTAAAGACGTTATTGAAGCTTCTATTGTATTTGATCGTAAAGTATTTTTCATGACATAGTTGCAAAGAAGAGGATGCTTCATAAGGCGAATTCACTTTTTTCGTTGCAAGTGATTTCTTGGATCTGGTACTTGAGAATGGTCAACCATCATCATGAATTGATATTTGAGTTTGTAAAAGGAGATATCAAGTTGTTTAGGAATATGTAAAGGTGATTTCGTGGAGACTTGTTAAAAGTCTCATAAATGTAGGGGTACAATACGCTTATTGTTTGGATAATTTGAGGGAATAGTAGGGGAATATTGTCCCGATGTAGGGGCAGTGTTTGGAGAGTGAAACATACTTTTATAAGTATCACCTTAAGACAATCTAGTAAAACCAAACCTATCTCCAAGGCTGTAGTTGCTGCACTTTTTCGTACAGACATTAACAAGCCCTTGTCGTTGACGACTAGAACACAGTTCTTGGCTATGGATAAAACTGTACTTCAATCCTTCAAGTATGGTTATGCTTCAACAGGTAAACAAAAAGTTTTCAAGGGCTCTTTTCTTTTGTTTCTTGGGTGTCTTTGTCTCAAGGTTTCGTAAAGACTTGATCTTCGAAAAGGACAACTTTTCTTTGACTTTTACTACTTGTAGCTTTGTTCAATGTCTCGGTAAACCAAACGATGATATCATTCAACTGGCTACTCAACTCAATCACTTGTGTTTTTCCAAACTAGTTACTCTCAAGGGTACTTGTCCATTTTTAAAGAGTCATTTCAAACAATATTGAGGTGGAACCTAAACATGTTACAGACTGTTTTTTTTGCTGAATTGAAACGTATTTTTTTGTTGTGGTGATTCAAAACAAGTATTTTTGAAAAAAAAGGAAAAAAAATAACCATTTTTTGTCATTCTTCTCTTCTTTTGCATAGAATGTGTCTTTGCAGCATTGGCTCTTAATGTTTCGTTATCACTGTGGAAATCAAAGTTAACTTTCTTGGAATGATCTTTTACTGTTTCAAATGGCTTTACTGATTTTTACACACACTGTCCTCAATTTCAAATGCCCCTTTTCCAATTTACCCATTCTTCCCCCCACCCATAATGGCAATTTCAAATCACGATCACCTTGGGGTTGGCCCCAATTGGACCCTTTCCCCACCCATTTTCCCCCACCGCAATTTCCCCACTCTCTCCCATTTCCAATTTACCCATTCTTTCCCACCACACCCATATTGGCAATTTTCAAATCAAAATTGCGCGGGCCTATTTACAATCGGCCACTCTTTCCAAATTGCCCACGTTTCCCATTAGCAGAAAAATCAGTAAAAAGTGTGTATATTGGTGCTCAATATATTATGCAGAATGAGACCCAACGGAAACGACGAAATCTTCATTTTACAGTATACCAATATGATTCAATGTTGGGTCAATTCTGGAAACAATGGATTCAAACGAGTTTCGATCGACCTAGGTAATATTGAAAGTAATTTACAACTATCAGGGAAAGAATGTGGGGATTTTCTCTCGTTATGATTCTTGTCAAGCAAACTATCAACTAGATTGTCCTCTGTGTATTTAGATGAAAGAATACTAGTACTCGTTGGTACTTCGTCTGCCAAGTCTACTTGGGTAAATTCTTCCAATAAATCCATACAATCGTGAAGCAATCGGTATTAAATAGACTATCGAGAATATATAAATACTATATGAACCAAAGTCTAGGGTATAACTACTCTTCTTATGGGACAGAGAGTTTTATAGTGCCACGATAAAGGATCTTGATGAGCTAAAAGACTCTCATAATAGACGGACAACCCAGTGTGGTCCAAACAACCCATTTCATTCTATTAGCACTGTCCAATCCAGTCCGTATTTAACTGGAGAATGAACAATGAAACTACTCCTATTTATATCACCTAGCTGGTATAAATCTTTTTCTATGGTTATAACTTGCCTTTGACTCGCAAATCAACAATCTGTCTAAAGTGAATTCTTAGATCACCTTTTTGAATAGAATTGACCAACTACTATTCCTCAAATACTGGAATCAGTCAATTTCACAAGCCCAAGTGCAATTATTTGTCACTTGATGAATAAATAAGCTAGTATGACACAAAACAATCAATCATTCAATCAATGAATCAACACAAACCAAACTCAATTCTTCATCCATAAAGATAACAAAGAGTCTGCTGTGAAAGGCATCCTGTACTAGTAAAAGCGGTACCAGGTTATCAACTTGATTTTGTAATAGCTTAATATAACAAAGATAAGAGACAACTTTTTTTCACCAAAGAAAGTAAACGGACATAACCATATGTCTCAGCATGACTTGAAGTACTACTGATCTAAGGTTATGATCAAAGTACTTCTTCGTCAATCTTCTCAAGTTGTCATGTGGATTCGAATCTTTGAAACAACATAAAACCGAATGTTTGCAATGTTTGCGTTCTTCTATTTAAAATAGGAATGATCTCTAAAGCTGCCAAGCATACAGTTCCTTCCAATTCAGTTGAATTATCTCATATGTCTATGATTCTGTATTTAACTGCGACATTATGCATGTCCCACTATCAAATCAATCTTTGATGGAATAGATTGGAGTCAAGTGAATTCTATCGAAACTATACAAGTCATAGCCATAAAACTTGATAGTCTCAACGATACCAAGGCTTTTATGAAACTAAGTTACAGGATGAGGTGTATGATAAACAGTGGAAAAAGTTTAAGGAAAATTTCGAATAGCATATGATCGGTACTCTTCAAATACAGTATTCATAACAAGAATATGAATTCATATGAACAAGGTCAAGTCATTCTATTCGACACCAAGTTCAACAGAAATGTAGCCAAGATACATTAAAGTCCCTCTCTCGATAACTTAAAATTGACCTTATCACTAGGCATAAATGATATGATAAATACTAAAGTACTATATTTATGACCGACTCGTTCGATTCTATCTACAAGGCGTAGTGAACAAGAGAATGAATGATGCTTAAAGAAACAATACACAACTCTTTATCCGACGACATTGTTCTGATTCTATCAAGCAAAGCACTCAGCTTATTCTCTTTCTTAATAGCTGATTGCCTATTTTGTAAAACTCCTTGTTTCCACTCAATTCAGTTTAAACTCGATTCAACATAGCCGAAACCTAATCTTTTGAAATCAGTTGAATTCAAACTGATTCCTGGACACTAGCTCGTATCCCTATTGTCTCTAGTCTTGTTGATTAGATAGAAAAATATATCCGTTCCACAATTGAGGAATGTATTGAGTTTTTAATATACAGAAAGAGAGTGGTCGTAAAACACCATTCACAATTCTAAATAAATGACGAACTATAGAAGAAATACTATGTTCACGACTCTTCGAGAACAATGGTGTAGTGAGAAGTGTTGTCCTATCGCTTCTAAGAGTTGCTGTTATTGTTGTCGTCAAATGTGCA